GTCCACTGCTAATTACCACTTCGGTAAGCCCTTGCCTACTGACGGCTAGTTATCTCGTGGGGGGGGGAGACTGTAAAGATGTAGTTGCTATTAATTAGGTCATTACGAGCTTGTTGCGTCGCAAAGTTTAGATCGTCAGCCCGATTGCGAACTACACAACGAACCTCGTTACTCTGGGCCCAGCTAGCCGTATTCCGTAATGAGTCAACCAACTTGTTGAATGCTAATAGTCTCGGGATTTAATGAGTTCTCCCTCGAAGTGCCTGTGTGAGCCGTGTTGCTTTACAAAATTGCTGCTTTTAAATATTGAAGGAAAAGATCCACTGTGTAACACTCCTTAACTGTGTGTTCTTCCTGGGTTAACATTCCTTAAGTGGGGTCTACGTACTTGCTCCACGGAATATGCAAATGGCTTGTAAACACCACCAGATCTCGCTGTCTTGGATAATGAAATTAAGAGAGAGGATGCGGTGGGCAAGGACACATACCGGTACTGAGGGGCAAGAGCTCCAAGGAGCTACTGCTTGAAATCAACCTCACCACACAAGTGGAACGAAGAACGTTAGAATTAAGTTATGTTAATAAATGTTGGAGGATATCCACAAGGAAAACAGACACCCTAACATGGGAGAAGCAAGAATGACTGCTAGAACCAGCTAAGCGTGAGACCAACCAGAAGAAGTGCTACAGGTGGCAGCTGAACGTGAAATTCAACGTGAATAAATGCCTGTTGTGGAATGTGAAAGAGATGAAAATAAACCACATACAGCTTATAAATTATGTGGAAAGGACCTGAAGTGTAACAAAGAAAGACCTTGGGGGTGGTTTTGGATAGTAAGCTGTCGCCAGAGGAACACATAAAGAACATTGTGAGAGTGTATGCGTCGCTTCCCAACTTCAGGCTTGCCTTTAATTATATGAATGGTGAAATACTAAAGAATCTGTTCATGTATTTTGTGAGACTAAAATTAGAATATGCAGCAGTTGTATGGTGGCCATATCTCAAGAAGCACATTCAAAAACTGTAAAAGGTGCAAAGGTATGTTACAAAATGGCTTCCGGAACTGAAAAACAAGAGTTACACGGAGAGGTTTGAGGCGTCAAATATGCCAAAAGTAGAGGAAAGAAGAAAATGAGGTGATATGATCCCAACTTACAAAATACTAAAAGGAATCAACCGAATTGACAAAGTGGAATTCTTTAAATTAGCAACTTCACGATCATGCTGATGTTCGAACACTTCCGGAACAAGTGCTTCACTGACGAATTTTGTTCGAATCACAATGCTGCAAATGCTTCACCCGCGTACAACAAATACAGGACCAAATAATCGCCAACAGAACCTAAACACCTAACCTAATCTAACCTATGCCTACATGTGCACAATATGCTAATATGCTATAATATTAATTTAGATTTGAGAAAATTTCCGTTTTGAATGAACAGCATGTAAAAATTAATTTATGCGTCTGTGGGGTCGACCATTGGATGGAATGGACTTGAGTCGAGGACGAGTTGGTGCATGGAATCGCTTTTGGGTTTTTGTTTGGAGGACGGGCTGGTTGGCGATTATTTGTATATGAAGTACGTGGGGGGTGAAGCATTTACCGTGTTGTGGTTCAAACAAAAGTGGTCAGCAAAGCACTTGTTTCGGAAGTGTTTACTAATTTCTAGTAAACATATATGTTATATATTTTCTTTACCTACATAATTCTATAAGATACTGTGTGCCTTTTGTTGTTGCTTGGAGGATTGAGACGCGATGCGCTGAAAATTATTATAAATATTTACCTGAATTTACCCAAGGGCCACTAACTCTCTAGTGGCCTCGACGAAGACAGAAAGCCGATTGTTTTTTAAATGTCCCGCCAAGTGTCTTAATTATAGTTTCTAGCTGGATTTTAAAGTTTAACAGGTTTGGCATTTATGGCTTCAGCGGGTAGGCGGTTCCTTGGGTTTATAACCATGCGGGTAAAAAAATCTCCTGTTTTCAGTCCTACTTGTGATACCTTAGTAATAAAGCTTTTATTACTAAGTTTTTTATATTAATTTATTAATTAATCATATAACATATTGTACTGCTGTGATATTTTTAATTAAAAAAATACATATGTAATACCAATGAGATTATGAGAAAAGATTTAGTTAGCATTGCAAACCAACAAAGGACCTTCCTGTTTGTGCTGACAAAGTTCGAAATAATAATTTATATAATAATTCTTTGTGTGATGGTACAGGCGCCAGAGTGTACTGGTGTATGAGCAGTATAGTCGGGGTCATTCTCGACTCACAGTCCAGAATTCCAGGTTCGAATTCTGGGTGGAACATAAATGGTTGGGCGCTATACAAATTAGTATAGCTCCTGAGTAGTTATACTTACTCCTAGGTGAACAGGGACATTAGGTGATAGTAAATGCTTCCAAGCATTCCTGTCCCGCCTGGGATCATCACCTACTCTCCTATTTCAAGTTGACCCGTGTTTATTTACTTAATAACTACTGGAATAATATCGTGATATGATAAATCTTATTATAATTTCATAAAATGACATTTATTACAAGCAGAGAATGCATATATAGTTAACATAAAGGACTACTTGTTGATGGGACTCATCTATGAAATGTTTTTTTAGTATATTATTAAATTACGATCCTCGGGGTTATGTAGTAGAGACCAACTAGTTATATACAGATTATGTAGAGCTACGACTGGTCTGGAAGTGTCGTAGCTTGAGGCAGGGTTCTTCGGCAGATCGGCGTTCTTAAATAGCTTCCTGAATCTCGACGTAGCCGCCACGACGATGGTAAGAATAAAACTTTCCTAAGTACTTGGGTAACTTCTTCCCTGGCCTCAGAGATCTAAATGGTCGACTCGGATTCGCAAGTCGTGACTGGATCAGGATTCACGGCCCTATATTTTATCTTCGAGACTCAATGGGTTCCTGTTCATTGTGAAGTGAGAAGCGGGTCTGAGTTCGCGCCTGGAGACCGCGGCCAGGCACCTGGAGGCCGGCCAGGCACCAGGAGACCAGCCAGGCACCTGTAGATCAGCCAGGCACCAGGAGATCAGCCAGGCACCTGGAGACCAGTCAGGCACCAGGAGACCAGCCAAGCACCTGTAGACCAGCCAGGCACCAGGAGACCAGTCAGGCACCAAGAGACCAGCCAGGCACCTGGAGACCAGCCAGGCACCTGGAGACCAGCCAGGCACCTGGAGACCAGCCAGGCACCTGCAGACCAGCCAGGCACCAGGAGACCAGCCAGGCACCTGGAGACCAGCCAAGCACCTGGAGACCAGCCAGGCACCTGGAGACCAGCCAGGCACCAGGAGACTAGCCAGGCACCTGGAGACCAGCCAGGCACCAGGAGACTAGCCAGGCACCAGGAGACCAGCCAGGCACCTGGAGACCAGCCAGACACCTGGAGACTAGCCAAGCACCTGGAGACCAGCCAGGCACCTGGAGACCAGCCAGGCACCTGCAGACCAGCCAGGCAACAGGAGACCAGCCAGGCACCTGGAGACCAGCCAAGCACCTGGAGACCAGCCAGGCACCAGGAGACCAGCCAGGCACCTGGAGACCAGTCAGGCACCAGGAGACCAGCCTGACACCTGGAGACCTGCCTGGCACCTGGAGTGAAAGATCAAAACTACACAATGATCGATTACAACTCAATCCTCTTTAAAGAAAATCAAACTGAACCATCATCTTTTGCTCGGGAGGCTCACGAGGAACACACGGGAGCACGTGTGTTCCTCACGTGTGCCCCAAAGAATGAGGTGATTTGATAAAATACCATGCCCAAGATTACCATCAGAGTGCCGGCGGGATGATGGGGAATTTGCCTCGGCTACCATCATCTTTTGTCCGGTCGTGATGGTCGAGTGGTTAAGGGGTCCTGTAAACCAGTTGCAGAATGCTCCTGGCAGTATGGGTTCGAGTCACTTATCGGGTGTGAGTTTTCAGTTGCATATATGCCTGGGGACCATTCAGGCTTGTTCGCATATATATATATATATATATATATATATATATATATGCACAAACATACACAAATACACCCATACAAACACACCCATACATATAAACAGACAAACTTTGCCACTGAGGAAAAACACAGTTCGTCCATCTTCCCAGTTTCTATACACCTGATGCTGGGCGCGTCGGCCGGAAGACATCTGCGTATCTTCCTCCGCTCCTTTACACAAGATGCGTCAGCCCACCCATGTGAGGGGCACGCGCCTCACCATATACGCCGTGAAGGAGGGAGGAGGGGGAGAGAGGGAGAGAGAGAGAGACTGAGAGAGAGAGAGAGAGAGAGAGAGAGAGAGAGAGAGAGAGAGAGAGAGAGAGAGAGAGAGAGAGAGAGAGAGAGAGACAGGAGAGGGAGGTAGGAAGAGAAGATGGGAGTGGGGGGGGAGGGAGGAAGGGGTGTGGATGCCGACTAAGATAAAACATTAGCATCCTCTTATCTTGACCCCTTCATTCACAACCCCATAATTAGGACCAGAGGATTGGCGTATGGTGACACCCCCCCCCCCCACTCCTACTCCTACCCCTCCCCCCTACCCAGTCCCGCTCCCCCTTCAGCAGAAACAGACGGTGGTAAGCTTTCACGTGTGTTGGCGGCCCTGTCTATTGTGTGTGGTGGCGGCTCTGTCTATTGCGTGTGGTTGCGGCCCTGTCTATTGCGTGTGGTGGCGGGCCTGTCTATTGCTTGTGGTGGCGGTCCTATCTATTGCGTGTGGTGGCGGCCCTGTCTATTGCGTGTGGTAGCGGCCCTGTCTATTGCACTTGTATCGTGTCCTGGCTGAAAACTGTCCCGTTGACTGTGTTATCGTTCAACTAGACAGTTTACTGTCACATCGGGATTCATTACCGTCCCTCCGATCTGCTTAACTGTCCCTTTGAGATGCTTAACTGTGCCCTTCGAGAGCCTTAACCGTCCCTTAGAGACGCTTAACTGTCGCTTCGATCTGCTTAACCGTCATCTTTGAGACGTTTAACCGTCTCCTGCAAGTCGCTTAATCGTCTCCTTCGAACGTTTAGTTTTCCCTTTGAGACGCTTATCTGGCCTTTTCAGACGCTTATCTGTCTTTTTCAGACGCTTATCTGTCCGTTTCAGACGCTTATCTGTCCGTTTCAGACGCTTATCTGTCCGTTTCAGACGCTTATCTGTCCTTTTCAGACGCTTATCTGTCCTTTTCAGACGCTTATCTGTCCTTTTCAGACGCTTATCTGTCCTTTTCAGACGCTTATCTGTCCTTTTCAGACGCTTATCTGTCCTTTTCAGACGCTTATCTGTCCTTTTCAGGCGCTTATCTGTCCTTTTCAGGCGCTTATCTGTCCTTTTCAGGCGCTTATCTGTGCTTTTCAGACGCTTATCTGTCCTTTTCAGACGCTTATCTGTCCTTTTCAGACGCTTATCTGTCCTTTTCAGGCGCTTATCTGTCCTTTTCAGGCGCTTATCTGTCCTTTTCAGGCGCTTATCTGTGCTTTTCAGACGCTTATCTGTCCTTTTCAGGCGCTTATCTGTCCTTTTCAGACGCTTATCTGTCCGTTTCAGACGCTTATCTGTCCGTTTCAGACGCTTATCTGTCCGTTTCAGACGCTTATCTGTCCCTTCGACATGCTTAACTGTCTCTTCAAGACGCTTAACTGTCATTTCAAGATACTTAACTGTCCCATCAAGGTGCCTCACCATATCGACAAGATGCATCGCCCGTCCCATCAACAATACTGTCCTCATGAGGATTCGAACCTATGTGGTGGGTGTTCCCACGTACATGCCCAAGTCAACTAGACCACAACATGGTATAAAGATTGCAACCTGTAGTTCTACTGAACTCACGAGGGTTTCCTGAGGCTTCCACTGAAGCCGGACCGGGATTTTCACACACATCCTCCCATGCACTCTGGCTCTGTTATCCAGGTATGTTCTACCTCTGACGCTCCTCTTTCAACAGAGTAATCTGTAATTCCTGGATGACACGCTCACCGCATAGGTTCGAATCTTCATCACGGCTCCAACGGATTTGCTCACTGATACATCAGGTTAGTGTGATTACTATCACACTAACTCTGCGTAATACTGTCCGGTCCTGTTTCCATCGTGTTTCAAGTCCGTAATCCGTATTCTGAGGTTTCAGAACCAAATCCATATGATAACAACACAGCTTCTCGTTTGTAAATAAATGAAAAATCACATACAAATCACACAAACACTGAGCCTCAAGCACACTACATACAAAATAGTAACAGGAATTGATAAAATCGATAGGGAAGATTTCCTGAGACCTGGAGCTTTAAGAACAAGAGGTCATAGGTTTAAACTAGCTAAACACAGATGCCGAAGAAATATAAGAAAATTCACTTTCACAAACAGAGTGGTAGACGGTTGGAACAAGTTAGGTGAGAAGGTGGTTGAGGCCAAGACCGTCAGTATTTTCAAAGCGTTATATGACAAAGAGTGCTGGGAAGACGGGACACCACGAGCGTAGCTCTCATCCTGTAACTACACTTAGGTAATTACACTCCAACCATTGAAATTGAAATTGGAATTACATTAAGTTTATTGAGGTAAAATACACACAAAGGGATGAGGTAGCTCAAGCTATTCTCACCCCGTTCAGTACAACGTGTTTATACATATATATACACACATCACAAACAATAAACATATTACCGAACATTCTGAGAGATAAACATATACATTTTGGGTCTTCCAGAAGGGTATAGGAGGTCATCCTGGGTGCCGTCTTAACGAAGCTTAAGGAGGCATGACGGGTCGATAGGAAAGGGAGAAGGTTAGGGGAGGTGAGGGAGAAGGGAGGGGGAATAGAGGGAGAGAGGGGCATCAGGGTTAAGATGCTGACCGAGATAAACCGATAGCATCATCTGCCATGCCATACAGGGTCTGATTCCCAGTAATCATCGCCTCACAAAGGAAGAATGCACAGGAGTGAGTGGGCAGGATATTCCCAACACAGGCATCTAAACGCATGCTATTTACCCCCCATTCAGAAGGTTCGTTTCCAACCTAAATGAGCGTAAAATTCCACACCGCAAGTCCCACGGGTCCTTATCACCGTAGCCTTTCACCCGCTGGTGATCTCTGCCGCCGGCACAGTGGGGGCTGGGGTGCCTCCTGCCCTGCTGGGGCGGCGTGGCCTGCAGGGGCGGCCTGCCACGCTGGGGCGGCCTGCCACGCTGGGGTGGCCTGTCATGCTGGAACAGCCTGAACTGCTGGGGCGGCCTGCCTCGCTGGAGCGGCCTGCCTCGTTTAATGGCCTGCCTCGCTGGAGTGGCCTGCCTCGCTGGGGCGGCCTGTCTCGCTGGGGCGGCCTGTCCTGCTGGGGCGGCCTGTCCTGCTGAAGCGGCTTGCCCTGCTGCGGAGGCCTGCCTCGCTGGAGCGGCCTGCCTCGTTTAACGGCCTGCCTCGCTGGAGTGGCCTGCCTCGCTGGGGCGGCTTGTCTCGCTGGGGCGGCCTGCCCTGCTGGAGCGGCCTGCCTCGCTGGAGCGGCCTGCCTCGCTGGAGCGGCCTGCCTCGCTGAAGCGGCCTGCCTCGCTGGGGCGGCCTGCCCTGCTGGAGCGGCCTGCCTCGCTGGGGCGGCCTGGGTGGCAGAGACTCGGGAGTGTTGCTCCTGGCAGACTGTGTTGCTCCTGGCAGACTGTGGTGCTCCTGGCAGACTGTGGTGCTCCTGGCAGACTGTGTTGCTCTTGGCAGACTGTGGTGCCCCTGGCAAACTGTGGTGCTCCTGGCAGACTGTGGTGCCCCTGGCAGACTGTGGTGCCCCTGGCAGACTGTGGTGCCCCTGGCAGACTGTGGTACCCCTGGCAGACTGTGGTGCCCCTGGCAGACTGTGGTGCCCCTGGCAGACTGTGGTGCCCCTGGCAGACTGTGGTGCCCCTGGCAGACTGTGGTGCTCCTGGCAGACTGTGGTGCTCCTGGCAGACTGTGTTGCTCCTGGCAGACTGTGGAGCTCCTGGCAGACTGTGGTGCTCCTGGCAGACTGTGTTGCTCCTGGCAGACTGTGGTGCTCCTGGCAGACTGTGGTGCTCCTGGCAGACTGTGGTGCCCCTGGCAGACTGTGGTGCCCCTGGCAGACTGTGGTGCCCCTGGCAGACTGTGGTGCTCCTGGCAGACTGTGGTGCTCCTGGCAGACTGTGGTGCCCCTGGCAGACTGTGGTGATCCTGGCAGACTGTGGTGCTCCTGGCAGACTGTGTTGATCCTGGCAGACTGTGGTGCCCCTCGCAGACTTTGGTGCCCCTGGCAGACTGTGGTGCCCCTGGCAGACTGTGGTGCCCCTGGCAGACTGTGATGCCCCTGGCAGACTGTGGTGCCCCTGGCAGACTGTGGTGCCCCTGGCAGACTGTGGTGGTGATGCAAGGTTCGTCATTTCTCTAGTCCGCTCCTCTAATCTTCCTCACCCTCCTCCACTCCCCCTTAACGTCCCATTCTTCCCCATTCAACCTTCTCTTTGGAATCATATCATCTCTCCTTTCCCTTCCCATTCACCGCTCTTCTTCCCCTTCCCATTTTACCTGTCCCTTCTCTTTCCTATCCTCCCTTCTACTCTCACTTCCGAGTCCCGTCTCTTTGCATTTCCTTTCCCATCTATTGCTCTCCTGCTCTTTCCCATCCTCTCCACCCCCTCGCCTGCTCTCCCCTTCCCACGCTATCCACCCCTCCCCCCTTCCCATCCCTCAGTAAGAATGGAAACAACAGAATAACAGTATCCTCAATTTATACCTCTTGTGTCTTCAAGACCCAACTACTTGGGCTGGACGGTAGAGCGACAGTCTCGCTTAATACAGGTCGGCGTTCAATCCCCGACCGTCCAAGTGGTTGGGCACCATTGCTTCCCGTCCCATCACAAATCCTTATCCTGACCTCTTCCAAGTGCTATTTAGTCGTAATGGCTTGGCGCTTTACCCTGATAATCCCCTCCCTCCCCTTGATATCTACTGCTTAATGTAGTAGCCAGGAGCGTCTGTCTTGTGTTAATAATGACCAGTCAACTCTGGTAAGAAGGAAAACACCTCATGCTACCAAATGGGGACACATCAACCATTCAATACTCCATCTTATCTCCATAGATGGGTTAAGCATCCTAATCCATAATTAGAATAGGCTTCCACTCAGACAATATATATATATATATATATTGTCCGCTATATATATATATATATATATATATATATATATATATATATATATATATATATATATATATATATATATATATATATATATATATATATATATATATTTGTTTGTTTTATTTAAACTTTGTTACATAAAAGGAGTTACATATATGGTACAAAGATGATTATCACATTAGTTGTCGAGTTCCTCCAGCTCCTCAGATGGCGGGCAGGAACCCTGAATGCAGTGTGCATTTCCCCTCTGTATCGCTACTCTGAGGCGCTGGAAAAGGAAGCTGGAAGGTCTAGGGTCCCTTGTTGTTTCAATTAGCTTAAAACCCAGTTCCTTCAAAAAACTGGTGGCACTTTTACCCGAGACGCCGAGTGTCTCAGAAGCAATGGGGAAAAAATTGTAGTGGTGATCCAGTTCTTACGGGATTTGGCTGATTCCCTGTAGGTGGCAGCGCCACCTGGTTGTGCAACACTGAAGTTAATGTAGACGTTAGCCAGGGTTGATACACACGTGTAGTCCCATACCAACTGCTTGTCATTCTTCCGCTCACTGTGATACCACCTGGGCGACCAATAAGAGCATCAGAGTTAGGTAACGGGGCTCTCTTTCAGCTGGGCATCCAGCTGTGGTGAGGCTCCTTTTGATGATGTCGCTAACTTCACTGTGCCTCGAGTGCCAATCCCCTGTGCTTTGGCAGAGTAGGCCATGGTGGCCGTACCTGTCAGCCACCACCTCGCCGCAAATAATATATATATATATATATATATATATATATATATATATATATATATATATATATATATATATATATATATATATATATATATATATATAAATATATATACAAATAATATATACAAATAATATATATATATATATATATATATATATATATATATATATATATATATATATATTATAAGCTGCCATACAAACACTGGCCTATATAAACATTGTCAAAGATTACAGTCAAAAGCATATTTCCAAGCCTATCAGTGTGTATTTTTCGTTACATTACACACACTTAAAGTTGCCGAGTTCAGTATACTTAGTCAGTGTAATACTTGATCACGTCACCTTAATACAACATCTTGGTATTACGACCTGGATGATAATTACATCCATATTAATTATCGTCATAAAACACTGGTTGTTCTCCAGCTCAGCCCGTGTGTTAGTTGGTCCACCACCTCCTGATACCTCGTTGAACAGTCTTGAGGGATTTGGGGGGATCTCAAGACAGATGTCCAATATAGCATAAATTAAAAGACTAATGCCTCGCCACTACGATTAGTCCCAATCCCTTCACCCACTGTCAGACACACAGACAAACTCAGTAGTAAAACAGACAAACAAAAGGAAGTCGTGGTGGATCCTGGTGGATTCACCCACTGTTGAGGTGGATAGAGCTGTACGGTGGTAACTAACTAGTTAGGCCTTGTCGCATCTGCTCTGACTCGTCGTCCAACGTTCCTAGCAGGTGTACACAGTCCTCCACTGAGGGGCGTGTCGTCTGCTAACCCAACATGGCGCCGGGGACCTG